TACACCCACGAAGAGGTAACTGAGAACGGGTTAGATGCACAGAGAGCTCTGGAAGCTCTGAGAACATAAACCATACATTCTTCCGATTTTTTTTGTCATGCATCTCATACTTTGACCCAACAATGACACACAGTGTTGATTTTCAGGTGCAAATTTTATTGTGGATCATAACAAAGGCTTCAGAAAAAGCACAGGAAAAAAATAAACAATTGAGTGTCTCTTACTTACAGAGTACATAAAATATATTCTGTGAAAGCTACGAGCTCTGCAGGTGAAAGCAATGCAACTTAATTTAAACTAACCATTATTTTTAGATACACAAGTTAAAAAGCAAATTTGGCAAGTAGTCTTTTTTTCCCCAATTAATCTGATATTGAAATTGAGAACCAAATATTTCAGTGTCACTAACACTGTTGCAGTTAAAAAAACTTCTAGGTAAACTTTACCAAAATATAAAAAATCAGCCCTAATAAATGTTAAATTACTCAAAACCTCTTTGGAAAATCTGTGGATGCTGAGGTATGCATAATCTCAGAATTCTGGTGCTGCTATCTCAATTTTTCATGTGATATGTCAAAACAAAATACTTTAAAGTAATTATAACTTTCTACAGAGGATTTCTTCAGCCTTTAATTGTCACACTAATTCTTATTGTAAAACAACAGATGTTGATTAGGTAACGGTGTAGACAATCTTTGCAAGAGGTCTTCAAGGCACTGTTCTCTGGGTGCTTGACACAGACACAGGTCATTCATGAAGGCTGTTTTGATAGGAAGACAAGAAACAACAAAGACTAGACCTAGAGCTACTATCCAGTATATTAAATATCATATGTAACTTTCTCTATTGAAATAAAACCTATTACTTTCAAAAGTCTTTCTGCTTTTACAATACTGTGGCTTGCAGTAAGGTGTCTGCTAAATTAATCTGAAACACAAATTTAAAAACATACTTTAAGAAAATAAGTAAGTACAAAAGTCAACCAAGTAGCATGTACCTCAATCAGTATTGTCTGCCTGAAAGTAAACCATTCCCAAGTACTGTAACCCTCTGTAAAACAGAAAGGACCAAATGCTCTGTGATTTAATGCCACTGGTTTACAGGGAGACATGCCAGGCAGCAACTTGGTCCACAGTCAACTGAAGCAGATTAGGACCTCATCCAGCGCTCACTGGTCCACTTGAATTCCTGAGCAATGTAGCTGCAAGGCTGCTGCCCTCCTATATCAAGAAGATATCTACTTACTAAGAAATTTAAAGGAACAGATATTCTGCAGTCAGCTCATTTAATGAGAAACTTGGTGCATCTGTACTCCATCGGGAATAAAGAGCGATCCAATCGTGGACTTTATGTGTGTCTCAGATAGAATTATGCAAAGATTCCTTCAATACCTTTTTCTAGGGCCTGTTCTTTATGGTAACTAAATGCCAGTCAGCTGGGAAAGAAATTTGAAAGGAGTTGACCTTAAGATATTAGGATTTTAGAGAACTATTTTGACATCTTTTTGACATACTATTAAAAATCTGTAGCTCCTCTTTGAAAAATATAACAGTTTTCTGTGGTCGACAGAGGCTGCCAGGATCCATCAACAGGGAAAGGATGCCTATCTCCAACCACAAAACAAATCTGGATACCATATTGCCGGATGCAATGAATGTATTAGAAGTCAGGGAAGCACAGAAAAAACTCTGTTCTTTTGGCAGTTTCATAATGCCCCAGCAGCAGAAACGTTTGCTGTTTGTTTGGTACTCAAAGCAGACTCATAATCTGCTCCAGTGGACTCGGCTACCTGTGGGCCTTCCTGTGAGATCCAAATACCACCATGCGATCTTAAGGCAGTGGCTTGGATTCAGACTACCTGGCTTTAGAAACCTGGCTAAAGCGCTGAAATAGCAGCTTCGAGATCAGAGGCTCCCTCTGGGACCAACAGAGAAACTAGCCTCGCCAGGTGACTGTTCATAACTTACAAGGGCTAAATCCACTGATTTGAATCCATTCAATCATTTAAAGTAATTATAAATAAAACCAGGATTAACCTAAAGCTTAAACAACTTCTTTCTTAATATAAACAGTGAGGAAAATTCTGCATTCAGCTGTACATCAGTACACAACGCTGCGTGTCAGGAATAAAAGCATCCTAGGCGTCAGCAGAACTTCGCCCAGCTAACTGAACATTTCTGTTCCTTGAATGAAGGTGTTGGCCTATACTGACGGCTGAAGAGCAAACTGTCTACAGTAGTATTCTATAGATCTATAATATTCTGTATCAAAGCAATAAATATTAGATATATTCTGTATATTAGATTTCATAGTTAATCTGATAGCTATTTAAATCTACACTGTCAAAAATATAAGCAGTGACCCACTCCTACATGGCAGCATATACTATTTGTGTGAATGTGTTAAAACTATCACATGGGTCTATATTTACATAGGACACTCTTGTTTATATAGCAGATTTTAATTTACATAAATTCTTACCATAGGATAGATGATTGTGTAAAGGTTGGATATTGTTTAAATGTTTCTATGGTTCTGCGTAATTGCATTTCAGCATGAGGATTTCATCATTCCATCTCAGTTTTACATTTTTTAAGGATGGAAAACGGAGTCTGACACTCTTCAAAATCTCAAATCATGTTATACCAATATAGCACAGGAATACTTATTTTCCAGTTCAGGCAAAAACCAGTTTCACTGTTTCTAACCGTTCTCCTTTCCATATATAAATCTCCTCTTTAAAGAAAGTGCACTCCTGAAAACAAGGGCAATCAAAATGCTTTGGCATTGCTAAAATATAAAAGAGTACTTCAACTGAGCATGACCTGCAGAAAAAACACTGCACATTTTTTAATTAACAATTACAATTACTACAAGCTAGGTGTGTAAATGAAGAAAATTCATGTGAAACATTAAAATAAGCTGAAATAGCTGCTGGTATATACATCAGAAGTTCTGTCTCAGTTTGCTCAAAAAAATGCTTTGTTAATTCCTGTCATTTAGCTTCTTGGATATTAAAGATACAATGAAAACATGTTCTTTTTCACTGAGGCCAAAAAGTCCAGTTATTTACCCATGTAAAAGCCAATTAATTGTTATTTTCTGCACCTGTAAGTTCAAAAACCCAGTTAAAAATATAGAGGATAAAAATATTTTAATAAAGATATTTAGAATGCTTATAACATCTTCTGAGTTCAGAGACTATCCAGGTATTGTCCTTTGAATTAAATATTGACTTTCCTTTGCAAAATGTGATACCTACTCCTCAGAACAATAATTTCTGTGGCCCCTCAGCAGAAGTCAGTATCATCTTGATATTAAACATCAGTGTTCATCAAAGACAGAACGCAATTTCTTGTCTTCCCTTTATGCTAATGTTGCACTGAAAAATTCTACATTTAAAAAAAAAAAAAGCCCTGGAAAATTGAAAAATGTGTCATGCTTTCTATACTAAGTAACATACAGCTGTTACTGACCGCTCTTGCCAGCACTGCATTTCTTCAGATGAACAGACTCCAGGGCTGACAGATTGCTTTCCCTTTCACCTATACCGGTTCTGCCATCGTTGGATGACATTAACAAGTCTCCTTCCTGCACTGAGCAGCCCAAAGATTATTCTAAACAGTTGCCCAGTAATTTCTGCCTAAGGATTTTTTTCCTTACTGTGTAACCCTGGACCCCAAGAATCTGGGGGTGCACTGGAACACTTCTTTTAGAAAGGTATCTAATGCTAACATCAAGACTTCTAGGAAATGATTAATTTACTCTTACCTTATGCTAGTGCAGTTTTTCACAATTAACACTAGTGTCAGGCAGTCTCTATCGGTTTATGGAAACATAACTAATGCTTGATATCAAGTCTAAAGGAAGAATCAAATCCCATTTCACATTTTTCTCTTTGTTAAAGCTAAAACCAAACAGATAACAGCTTATACCTGGTTATGACTAGAAAAAAAATACTCTTTATAGCCACGTAAAATGATGAAAGAACCTTACACTGTAATGGAGTCTTTGCAGATGGGAGTAGTTTTGACCTAAAGACAGTGCCTTTGTATTGGAAAGGCTACAGGAATGTTTCCGGAAAATAAATCTTATTTTTTGTGTTGGACACAATGCAGCAAAATACATTAATCATAAAATCAACAAAAGGGACAGATTCTAAATCCTATTTAGCAATAAACCTATACTTGCAAACAGCTAACCCTGTGTTTAAACCACTAAAAGAAAAACAAGCCTTTTTTCTTTCTAATACTATGTAATAACAGATATTTTAGGGAAACTATCATACAGGTGTGTTTTCCTGAAACATGTACTTTGGAAAAAATACCTCTCCCTTGAACAAAACCAAGTGACAAGCTGCGAAGTGTGCTTATGTGGAATGCTCAGTAACACATATTTAAAGCAGAGTATCACATTATAATAAATCTGAAGAAATGAGTTGCCATTTCAGTTTGTACCCATAAAATTCAAGCCTAACAGCACTGGAAATATAAATTAATCAGGTTAAGTGCTTGAGAAAATCTCTTCTTTTCAACTGTGAACAAGAGTATTTAACTCACGCGCACGTCTCATAATTAGAATGCAACCATCTTACCATGGATAGAAAACCCCCAGATTAGAAAAGATACATGTAAAAAACATTAAAATAGATACTCAGTGCTGTATCTTCCTATGATTGGCTTCAAAGGCTGATTTGAATTAAAGTTATTAAGTTTGTTTTTCATTCTTCACCTACTACAAAACAGTGTGAAGACAAGCTATTATTGAGACGTGAATTCTCCCAAAATATACCCAAATACCTTTCCTCAAACCTTTTTCTTCATAATTTATATTAATTTTAAATCTACTATGAAAATAGTAGTGCAAGAATAATCAATTAAAATTCCTCAGATAAATGGTTTAGTCCCTTTAAGGATAAAGATGCAGAAGAACACCGATGAAAAATATGCTAAATATGATGCTTGCTTTGTTAACACTCCTTTATGTCCCAAATCAATCCTTCACTCCACATTCCTGTATTTGGTAAACAAATTGTAAAGTACTCTCAGTGTAGACTTCAAGTCACAATTTACAATATCTAGAAAAAAAGACAAGGGAAAAATACATGAGTAATTTCATTAGCTCGAAAACATTATCAAAAAAGTGCTTATTTTCTACTTTCTTTCCTTGCTCACATTCATGTCCATGAACAGTCAAATCACAAAGAAAGTAAGAAAGAGTAGAAATAGAAATAAAACACAGTTTTTAAACTGGCAACTCAAAAATCATTATTTCAACCACTTTTAGTTAGGGATACAAATGACTGATGGTGCTATTGCAGAAATGTAACCAAGGCCTAGATGCCCACAAGCCAAATAGTGCCTAGGATTATGTATATTTATATGACTGAATCTTCAGTCGGTTGTGGCCAAAAAGTAATGATTTCGAAAAAAACATCAGGCAGGAACCAATGAAACTCTTCTCATATGCAAGAATCGCAGGACTTGGCCCACTCTGGGCTGCAACATCCTTTATTAGGCCTACTTTCAGCAAGATAGCTAGAGGCAAGTCTAAAGGATCTAAAGAAGCTAGGTAAACAAGTGCCCCTCGAAGACACTTCCGAAAATGCTTCGGGTTAGCTGATGTACATGGCTGAATCACTCCTTAGAAACTCAACATCCAAAGGAAAGGATTTCTATGAAACAAAAATCTAATGAATACCTGCTGTTTCCAAAAGAAGTTGTTGAGAAAGTCAGTATTATTTCACAAGAAATCTATAAAACAAACTGACAAGTACTACTGCAGCAGTCTACGCTAGTGCTTCAAGGAATATTTGATCTCAAATAGGGACTTAGAATTGTCCGCAGAAAGAACAGAATAGAAGAGAATTAGAGTTGTCCTGTTTCTTTCTGCTGACTGTATAGAAACTCAGCCTCCTAAATTTGGTTCTTGGAATTAGCCATGGAGGTGTAAAGCACCACGGTGTGCAGATGGTGTGCATACTCCCATTACCTTCAAAACCCCCAACGAAGCCTAGTAAATGGTGTATGTAATCATCAGCTAGTTTTGCCATTATATTTATCTACACTGATGTTTCTCACAGATTGTGAAGGGGTTGTACACTGAAGAATGAATCCAATCAAATCTATGCATGGTGTCCCAAAGTATGCAAACTTTGAAGGGCTAAAGATATTAGCTACATGGCAAGTGACAACCACAGACAAAAGGTGAAAATACTCAACCTAGATTTTATGCTGAGCCTATGCGTGATCATGAAACCACAGCCACGTGGTATTGTGACTCTTAATAAATCAGATCAAAAATGCTTGGTATAAAATAAATAGAAAATGCCAAAAAATACAGGAAGGGCACACTGCTCCCACAACATCATGTTATATTCTGCAGTACTGTTTGCATATAATTCGGGAAGTTTCCTCTTTTAGGCCAGCAGCAAGCTGCATAACACCTTTGTTTCCTAATACAGAACTTCAAAGGAATAAAGTGATAACTTTGATGGGTCTTTGCTAAGTTACCAGAATTCCACAAAAAGGTCCAAACAAAAAAGAAGCATGCACCCAGAGAAAGAGGAGTTACTTCCATTGCTCCATGGCTACATGGTTATACATGTTTGACCAACATGTATAAAAAAACCTAGTATTTTACTAGTTGCAATTTTCAAAAAGATAAACTTGAGTTTGGCTTTGATGTACACACTTCAAGCAGTATTCTGAAAAGGCTCAAGCTGCAAATGAATTCATTATACACTCAGCAGATTAATGTTTCAGCCATTTTTAAAGTAAAAGGTCACAGAAAGCTTTTTAATACCTTTTCAATTATATTGCAAATAACCTAAATAAACTGTTGACCCCATACAAATCACTGGTTTTCATACTCATTTATTTAACCGCATTCTTTTTTCCACTAAATATGTTTTTTATATTCTATATCACTTTTCAGCATATTTTTTCCTCAAGAACCTCAAAGAAATAGTGTAGGAATTTAAAGAGTATTTAGTATACACATTTAGGATAAGATCCTTTTCAGTACTCTTTTGCTCACTGGAAATTTTAAGTATGGGCATTGTGCCCAATGTAACAACACATAAAACAGATGTGTTTTTCCATTCACGTTGGGCAGGAAGTTTCATATTAAGCATTTCAATAATTGCACAAGAAATGTCTTATATATGCTGAAATATCCTTATGGCTTGATTTATACTGGAAAAATTAGCTGTCCCCTAGAGCAATAAATACCTGAAAAATTAAATGCCATAAGAATTTTAAACTTCCGTGGGGAATAAGGGATCACAAATACACTCTGTTTTACTTGGATCCCTAGATTTCACTATTTCCCCCTTCTCTCTTTGACTATTTCAAACATAAAAGTTTGTGATGCAGTCACCACTGGTTTAGTTAAGCATGATCACGGATAAGAGTTCAAGCAATCCAAAAAAGCAAAAAATAGGCTGGGTAGGTTTAGATTAAATGCTTTGGCAATGTGGGCTCAATCCTGAGACATATTTTGTGCGTGTATGTGCATATGACTGCTGCTGTTATGACCTGGAAGTTGGGAGAGGTGGAATAAAGCAGAAAATAAGCAGAATGGAGCAGAACTTGATCCAGTGATGCGTGCCTGAATCTCCAGAGAGCCCTTACTCCTAGAAATGAAACTCTGAGCATCAGCTTATATCAACTCCTCAGGGAATGAGAATCCAATATTACAGCAGGAAAAGACTGTGTGCACCATAGAACGTGAACCTGCAATGGATCTTGAAAACACATGTATATTGATTACTATGGTAGGTAACCAGCAGAAGCCCAGCTACCTCCCTGTTGGGAAGAGTGAAGCAGAAGCTGCATGTTCAGCTCCTGCATGGTAATATATGTTACTTCTCATAGAAGTAATCACAAGAGTACCCTATAACATGGTAAATCAAGGGCCCTACAGCCAGCCCAAAAGGCTGGATTTAAACCCTGTATTTATATGAGCAAAGTGGAGTGGAATCTTGGTCCTGCTAAAGGCAGCAGCAAAACCTTCATATTCCCTGAAGACAAATTTTACTTTCTGCCTCCATCTCTAAATCTAATTTAAATATGCATGATTAGGTCCTGCACTCAAAGGCAGTTATGTGAACATTTGAAATTCTTCTTCCACATCATCTACCTCCTTGGTGAAAATCTTGTAAATTACTCTGGAATACTTGAGGTTTAGTATGAAGATGTGGGATGGGGGAAAAACAGCAATTAGAGCAATTCATATCTGCCAGTGACACCATTCACAATTGTATCCTTTTTCTTTCAGTGAATATTTGACTATTATTGCATATGTTTGGTCACCCAAATCTTACCCTGGCCATTCAACAGAGAAACTGCAACATCTGAAAAAGTGTATCTATCAGCCATTTAAAATAGAGTTACCTGAGCACTTCAAAATGTTTACTTGCCTTTCGCTCTTGGATTAACATTTTAACCTTCATTTATCTATACCATAATCCTATGAGATAAGATCTGGATCCAACACAAATTTTTAAGAAGAGTACAGAAAGAGTAGAATAGATACCTTCTGGTCTCGGCTTTGGTTTTTCCAATCCACCATCTTGCATTAGCTCAAATGCGAAGGATACATTGAGGACCTAGTAATATAATAAAGGTAGTCATTATTGTGAACTATATACACTATAGTATAAATAGTCAAAACAAGATGTATTTAAAGCTGCAGACCCAGATGCTCAGAAGGAAAAAATAGTCAGGGCTCCATACATCAGCAGAAGATCTGGTCCGTGGAATCCAGATAATCTATTGCTTTGTTTTTCTGGGTGGTGATGGTAGTTTCAGAAATATAAAAGTAATGGAAAAATAACACATGAACTAATGTTACCCATAGAAAATCTACTTACAAGTAAGAATAGCCCACCTCCCACAAGTTAAAAAATTGGAACGTGATGGCCCATGAAGTAAGTGTTCCTGTCCTGAATAGCCAGCTGAATTGCCTGGATAGCAACAGACACTGGGGTAATGGTTGGTTTTAAAATGATACATAGTACATACCTGCCCTTATGCTTCCAAAAAACACAAAACCTTAAAAATGTTAAATCAGTTCTATCATCAATTTATGTGTATAGTTCTTTATACACTTAATGAACAGTAAGTCTGGTTCAATGACAGCATCACAGAACGGCTGCCAAAATAGTTAATATACTTGCTAACCACCCCATCATTAACATAACTTTCCCTTCTATTGTAGATAAGCATTAATACTGAGATCTTAAAAATGCCTGGAAATGGTTACCATTGAGTCCTCTCTCGATTTCAGCTATTTATGTCAAACTTACGTGGAAAATTTTGTGTCATCCTTGTACTAGTAGACATGTAAACATGTCTACTTGTTTTAACCAAAAAATGAAATCTAATTACCTTTTGTTCAAAACTATCAGGAGTCAAGAAAAAGCTGTACAGAGGAACAAAATAGCCTTCTAGGAGGCCCATTAGGAGGACCAAGTACACACCATCTGCAAACTGTAAAAAAGACATTTCTCAGTACATTTTCTGAAGAATGACTCATTGCTTTGCTTAATGAACAAGACATATATTGTCTAATGCAGAACTGTCAACAAACTACTAAGACAAATATTTAAAATTGCAACTGAAAGATCTCATCTCACTTCTGTGATTCCTTTTATTTAGTTAATACGTTCTGTTATATCTTCTCCAAAACTGACCGAATGCTAAAATACACGTTCAGAATGAGGCTCCTGGAAAGAGAGGTGGTCAGTGGCTTTGATCTATGCCTCTGCTTTCCATTCTATTAGCTGTGGGGAATCAGAACAGCCACCTCTCAAGCTCTCTCATTCCCTAAGCAGAGGAAAGCAGAATGAAGGTGTAATCTCACGATCACACAGAAATTCAGTATACTGGAGGAAATAAAGGAACAAGGAATCACTGCTGTCGACATTCTGCAAGTCTGAGTCAATCTAATTTTTAGTGTATGTAATTACAGCTGGAAGATATCCAATTCCTATGAGAGATGTTCATTCCTATCTATAAAAATAGCAACATCCATAATATTTTGTTAAAGGCCTCTCTACTCTTACCCCGGTGGCATTAGGTCTATCAGTGCACTGAGATATCCTCACAATCAAACTGAGTTATCTGAAGCACCTTTCTAAGGTAGACAATTTTATTTCAACTGATAGAGATACAATCTCTCATCCTGGGGGATACTCTTTCAGTTAAATGCTTAAGGAGTTTCTAGGTACATTTGAATAATACGTTTTTTCCAAAAGTAAACAAAGCAATAAGCAGGCATAGGGAACACTTTTCTGAAAGTCCTTGTTGTTTCCATCTAATTCTTAATTTGTAAAGTTTCTATCTCTATTTAAATAAACCAGAGATTACTAATAACATGACTCAAGACATAAAATAAAGCCTGTCCTGAAGGCTCCTGGGTTTTTTTGATAGTGTGGATACCATCCTTCCTGTGCAACCTTGTAATTTTCCTATGATAACTGCTGCAATTGCTCACATGGGGAGGTATCGATACAGCAGGATTAAGCCTTTATTTTAGCTTCTTTCCAGCCAATTTAGCAGCTGAGAAGAAGAAAGAAGACCACGTACCACATTATTTCTGTGGTGCACTCAAGCCTGCAGCCCAACTGTACAGCTGCCTATACACTTGAGTAGCTTTTCGCCCAAGAACGTATCTCACTGAATAGAGTCATTGTAATCCCATGCGATTGTGTGCTTGTGTAAAGGTAGGCAGGAAACAACTGCTCAGCCTGACTTTGGATCAAACCAAGTGGACAGAGCTCTTTCCTGACCAAAACAAGCACAGGTTCTGCTTACAGCACTTGGCAATGCCCAAAAGGTAACATCTCTTAATCCATTTTTGTGCAAATGGAAGTACAAAACTGTTTTAGGGAAATTTAGCTGCCCTCATGATTTCTCCAAGTAATTGGTGAGGGCCTTCTTCATATGAACATATTTAGAATTGAAGGTTTACCTGCTGAAATAATTCAATGAAATTTCTGGATGAAGTTGGGGGCATAGTGCATAACACAGTGCATCCTTCCCTTTTAAGAAAGGCTGTAAAATCCCACCTGTGTCTCCAGTTCAGTGACCTCCAAATTCAATTTATTGAGATGCTTGTTCACAAAGGCGATGAGAGTCTGAAATATCAAAACAACGTAATGAAGGCCTATTCAGTAGGGCAGCAGTTCAGTGTGTACAATATGAACTCTACTCAGAAAAGAATCCGAATGAGTGAAGAGACTGCAACACAATTTTTAAGTTTGAAATGTGACTTTTTTTTTTCAAAGAATGAAGAACAGAAATAAAATTAACATGATGCATATAAAGATATAATTCTTAAAATATAGTAATTCTTAAAAAAAACCACCTTGTAGCAGACTACAGGGAAGTGGGTAATCAGACTCCGCTCAAATTGACAGCAGTCAAAATACTCCAGGTAAAACGGCAGGCAGGTGTAAACTGGGTACCTCTGGCACCAGTACACTCAATCTACCTGTTTGGTTCTACTCAACATACACTTTGTGAGAACTCTGTAATGAAAACTTTGATGACTACATGTTGTTCTGTGTTCCAAAGTTAAGTTCATGCTGTTAAATATTCATAAAAACTAACATTACAATCACGAATTTGTATATTTCTTTAAGCATAAAGCTTAATTGTATTTAATATATGCAAACTATGCCAATTATATATTATATACATACATACTGCGTATGTACAAACAGATATACACACAAGCATGCACATGCACACATTACGTATTTTAAAAATAAAATCCAACCTTTTTCACTACATTGAGCTTGTCTGGAGCATGGTCAAATAAAGTATCAAATGCATCTCTTTCTGAAAAACATTCAGAGGTGTTAATACACTGAGCAGCAGTTGTCCAAATGCAGAATAAACACTTATTAAGGCACACACTCGTTTACAAAAGAGTCAGCAAAAGGCTTCAATATAGTCTCTTTGTATTTCAAGTATCATATATTTTGCATGCTGCTCCCTCGTTACAAAGCTGCCAGCAACTTATTTTCTATTATTTACAAAAAGCATAACTTTCAAGTAGGATTTGGATTACCTAATAACCCTGTTTCTCAAAAATGAACAAAGAATGATATCTTCATGCATAAAACCTTAAACAGCCAGATACAGGGAACTAAGTAACCAAATCATTGTGCACAGAAGAACATGAGTTTATGTCTAGTCATTACAGTGGAATATTTTCCCCATGGGCCACTGACAGTAAGCCTACGATTACATAGCTGCAATACAATTCTTTGTATAGATGTTTTGGGGCTGTTCTGATATGCAATTTAGGTCATTATCAGCAAGAAAGGGAACCTGAGGTAGCATGACTGGAGTGCTACTACAGTCACCTTCTGAAGAAAACAGGAAAAAAATAAATAAAAAGGCGCCTGAGCCTTTTCTGAGCAATTTCCATTTTGACAGCTACCTGAATGATAGGGAACGACTCCACACAAAGCAACATCCATATTCCTCAATAAAAAAAAAATGCTAGAGTAGATCCAAAGGCATTTGTAGAAGGCAGACTTTATACAAAATAAGACTGCTCAACTATATCATTGGAAGAAGAGGTCTCACAGGTAGCCTTTTAAATCAGCTATAAGGCAGCCACTGAAGTTATACAAGAAGCAAACGCTAAACTCTTGGTGGGACTCCACCTAAGCTCTTCAGATGAGTGTTTTCTGTTGGCCAGGACAGCCTCAGTACTAGCAGTAAGGCATACTAGGCACAGGAACTTGCATGGTGTTTAGGCCTGCTGAATAACAGCTCAAAGTGTAAGTAGATAATGTATGTGAGAATGCCAACGACTTCACCAGCTGGTTTATGATAAGACATCACACTTCATATTATGCTGGGAACTTAGGACCATTAATACTATTACAGTAAAGTTCTGGAGGTTAAACCACAAAGCACCTGCAAATTAACACATGCTGAAAAGCAATGAAATGTTTTAAAGATGGTCAGACTGATTTTAATGCTTTTTTCCTTTTGTTAACTGCCACAATAGCCTGTGGTGCATATATTAATATATTTGCCAGGCAGCTTGAAATCTTCTACTTCATTGCCCTTTGATCAAAGTGAGCACCCATTGCAGAAGCACTATATACTTTGGCTGCCTCAAGAAAAAGTTAATAATCAAATGAACTTACCATGCCTTCCTGATAATGCCCTAGGAAAAGAAAAAAAAAAAAGAATAAAACACAGTTGCATGCAATTCACTTGCAGACATTGTGCTGCAAAAGAAAACAGCATACGTGACCGTATCTTCAGCCTGATGAAAACTGGAGTACATCCATGGAATTAAGAAAACCTTCATCAAGTTACTTCAGCTGAGAATCTGGATTAGTCTGGAGTCCATCAGCATAACATCTCCCAGCTTCACTAAAGTCTCATGGGAGGCCAGATCTCAGATCTCCTACTATTGAACCAAATCAACACACCTTGCCTGAGTGAAGAAGGCTTTTTAATGTTGATTTTGTGAAAACTTTTCCCCTTGCCTGAAAGATGCATCTACCACACCAACTACAATAAAATACCAGCCAAAGCAATGCTTGAACTGGGTTCTTAAGGACTGCAGCATTTTGCTACAGTTTATCCCTCACAGGACTACTATATGTAAACAAATCCATAAAGTTTAATAAAATAATAAGTCGATAGTCCAGCTTCTCTCCATTCTATTAGAAACAAAGATATTCTACTTTTGCTTTCTGTTGGTTTAGAGTAACTTTTGTGTTATAAATTGTTCAGTGAGATTACATGGACAGGGCTTACTACTGGCATTTTACATCCCTAAAATCCAAACACCTAAAAATAGTCCTACTACATTCCTTTTTGAAAGGATCTAGTTATCTATCAAATAAACAACAACATAAAAGAATGAGGCATATCTTTCTCATTTGTTTGATGGACTTTTGACTAAAATAGTTCAAAATATAATAAATATAGAAGTAAATTAATAGTGGATTAATAGAAAATAGAGATTTTGGATATCTTCCGTCTGTCTTCTCTTTCATCCTGGTCTCCTGCCTTTAGTTCCCTAGTTCTGTATTTCCTCACCCTTTTTATTTTTAGATGCATGCTTGCAGCTCTTGAAAAGGCTAAAATACAGTCACTGGCTGATGCATCATCTTCCTTGGAACCCCAATACTGAAATCTAAATATCAGCAAATGTTTGAATTTCTGAGACGCATCTGTGTTCAATTACTGAACTGCTGGCAAAAGTGGTGTTGACATACTCAGTGTTACCAGTTATTTCCTCTTGGATTTGTCGGGACTGGAGGATTCCTTCTCGTTTCTGGAAAAAATAAAAAAGTGACATTTTTCTCAGTAAAGTTAAATGCTTAGGGTACAGTAAAATGTTGTGATTCACAAACACAATTAGATAAGAAACCTGCAAAATAAGAACTTTAAAAAAAACCCTACAATAATACAGTATTTCACCTTGCAAGTATTTCAGAAAACTCTTTTGTACATTAACAAGAAACTCGGAACTCCACCTGTAGAAGGAAGTATTTCTTTTCCTTTCTCCATTGTTCTTCATTCACTTTTCTTTTTAAGGCCCCAATTCAGCAAGACATTTGAAACACCTAAACACATATGTAAGTATTTTAGTAAAGGTATGTATAGGTGAGTTGAATTAAACCTTGTATTTCAATGAACAGCTTGGCAGATGGTGTCCATGCTTCTCTTCTGCAAAAATCTTGCTCCCACGCTACCTGTTTTTTCTGCCCTGTTCATACACTTTCTTTGTTGCCTCAGTGTTTTCCTCTTCTGACTTCTGTCAACACCAAGAGCTCTATTTGCTTGTGATGGAAAACCAAAATGGAGGAGAATCCATTCAAAGCCTGCTCCAGACTGTAGTCAGCCTGGTGCTAATACACGCATTGACCCCAGTGTTCTTCAGATGTGAGAAGTCCTTTGTACATGGTGCTGAGTGGCCTGTGGCGAGGAGCTGTACACAGAATGGCAGAAGCCAGCTCAAATGGTTGCTATTTGAGTCAGCTGGAAAATGAGAGAATTTAAAAATTTCACATTGTTTCCAGCGTGCTGAACACAGTCATCTGGTGGTGGTGTAAATACTGCACACATGTTTTGCCTCTTTGTATTCTCCCTGTTGATTCTATTCACTGGAATTAGTAAAATTTTGCAATACAGAAAGAAAAGTCAGGCAAATGTTGACGACTGCATGTAAAGTCTAGACATTGGGCAATTATTCATGACTCTTCACTCATGTCATACAAGGAAAAAAGGAGATAAATAAATTTAGCCTGGTCCTAGGCTTACCTTCTACATCGAAAAGAGAAAAGGAGAATAATCTTTTGGAAAAGTCCTTCATGGCATTTGGTCTGCTGCTCTTCCCTGCCTTGGAGAAGAGAGCACATCCCCACCTGAGGTAGTCCTTGGTGTATGAAGTGGTGAGGATTTGGCTAGGCTTGAATCTATCCTATACTGCATTACTAAAATATATAAGGATCAAACTTACTTTCTGCAAGAAAGCCACACATGGCACCCTCTGGGTCTCTGGACTGGCACTTGCAGTGATCTGAACTGTCCTTTAAGCTATAGTTTCAAAGGTTTCCTGCTGTATTTTTTAAAGCTCTGTTACTAAATATCTTGCATGTGGTTGAAAATGCATTTGGGAAGAACTTTTGAATATTAAAAAGACAGAGTGGAGTCCAATGTATTCCATACTGAAAGTGGGGGCACAGAACAGCTGCTGAGACATCTTCTGTCGTGTATCTTGAAAAACTGCACCATTTAGGGCTATCTTCATTTCTAGCTTGTGCAGACAGCAACAAGTACTTGTAGTTGGAAGTTACAATCTATTTCATGCTAGCTTAAGTCAGAATTTCACTCTGTTTGGGATTTTTGTTTATTTTTCCCTTTGCTGCAGGGTGAAAGGAAACTTCTATTTCCTCCTGATGATGACTCTGACATGCCAGTGATGCCTTCTGGAGCAAAAGCTCTATCACTCTTCTCTCCTAGAGGAGCTGAGCATCATAACAACAGCAACTGTACTTTTCAGTGCTCAGTCAAGTGACATGGGAGAAGAAAATGGCTTCTAATAGTCTACCTTCCCTCTGAAAACATGCACAGATAGCCTAATATACCAATATAGTCTTATAAGACCAATATAATACCAATATAATGTAATATATATATAGAATATTTTATCTATCTATATATATATAATACCAATATAATAGTACCAATATAAAATGTATTTCCCTTTTTGATAAACTGCAATACATGTCAGTAGGAATTCTGCAGCTTAATCCTATTATTGACAAAGAAAAAAAAAGACAAGACATTATTCCCTAGTTTTGTGCCTGTCATCTGATCACTAACGTGAATGGTATTTCCACACTGCGCAAATACAACATGCATCCGCTGGACATTTACTTGACCAAGATAGACTTTCCTGTGCTTCTGATTTATAGAGTGACTGGTGAAAAAGTCCCAATGGCAACAGAATGGACCTTAGAAACAGCAGTCTAAGCACCTTTGCCATGAAGGTGGCTTCCCATATATCTTTTGCACTTTAAAAACTTTCCACCTCAAAAATATACCCTAACACTGATGTCACCTGTTGTGAACTTTGTTTTATACTAGGCAGAGAATGACACAATGTTCCTAAAAATACAAAGAAGTCCTACTGAGGACTGAAATACTGTCCAGCAATGTTCCTTAAAGACAACAGTGACCATAACTGAAATAACAAATGAAAAAGCTGAACATCTATTTGGAAGTCACTGAGAAATGAGGCATGAATTAAGATTCCTCATTAAAAAGAGAAGCTGGATGCACATTCAAGCAGCCACAGAAGACTTTATTTGGACAGGCTTGGCATCTTCTTCCCTCACAGCTGAAAGACTCCACTAAAGGCTATGGAAGATCTTCCTAATCACTTATCGTTTTAAATTGCCAATTACCCGTAGAACAAAAAATTACATCTGAAATTTAAGTAATATGTCTGGAAACGGAAAGGGTCTCTCTTCTTCAAGTCTCTCTGCATCAGTTACACGTCAGCAGTTTTATATAACTGAGGGCAAACTGCTTAACTTCCCAAACAAAGTCCCATTCTGAGAAGCTGTCCACTATTTGAATGGGTTTTGCCTATATAATGTCGATAGACATTTCATCTGGAGGGTCATGATTTACAGATGCCCCACCAAGAGGAAATGCAGAACTATTCTGGAGTCTGAAAGAATAAATACATTTGTCATAGGTTCCAAAAAAAACCTACTTGGGACCTGGAGACAATGCTGCTCAGAAACATTTCAGACCTTCCCAGAGAGGCAGTGGGACCAACGATCTCAGATGAAGTTTGTGCTGCACACCTTCTCATCTCAATAATTTCCTAGCTTTGCTTAACAGCAGTTTATGCACCCAAGAATTACTGGTCCAGTGCTCAGAGCATTCTGCTCCAGACTGCTAATGCATTCTTGTACCCTCTGACTTACAGCTCTTGCACAAAACAACCTATCATTTAACCATTTGTGAATAGCTTAAGTAAATAATTTTTGAAAAGAGGCAGAATGATGGCAAGATTCAGCTCTCCACATAAGCTCTCACTTGGTTCAGTAGAAATGATCAGACTGAGTCTGTGCTTTGTTTAAAAGTATTCCTTCTATTAGTATGGAAGGAAAAGAAAATAATATAACAAAATAGCTTCAAAAGGTCCAACTATCACTTTTTTTCCCAAATCAGCTTATAAACTAGATTTCATATTACTCTCATTGCTAACAGCTTTTGTACTAAACAGCCAAAGGAAACAAGCTTTCATAAGAACTGTGCTGATTACCTGTTGAGCAAAAGCACATTTTTTTGTTTCAGAAATATCTTTGTTTCTATTTCAATAAACTACACTGAGCCAATATGGCAACCAACACATTTTAGGTGTTTCTAAACCTAACAAAATCATGAAATGAATTAGGGTTCTCTTCCTTAAAGACTTCCTAAAAACACTGTTCTTTTATGCCTCTCTCTGTCTTCTATTCCATTTATCAAAGTATATAGAGCAGAACTTAAAACCAGCTACCACATAGTCTCTTGAGTTTCCCTAGGCATGACCCTACTTTACATAATGTTTGAGGGTTTAGAACACGAGGAGTGCAAGTTTGAACACTAAATTAGGCTTTAGGATTTGCTGACTGTTGATTAAAACTTTCATTGAGTTCAAAGGGTACGTGATGAATTATATAGAATCAATCCCACAGGACATGAAAGACACTTAAAAAATAAAAATAAAAACCCACCCACCATAAAATAAAGATGAAAAATGTCTCAGACACAATTACAGTAAGGATACTGACGCCCTACCCTATGTTCATAGGAAGCAGCATAACCTTGGAGTTCCACTGACGGGTTTTCACCAAGGACCAGGGCTGCAGGGTGAAACCTTCTGCAACATGGATTTTATTCTGATGCAACTGCTTTCTCTGCAATTCACTGGCGCCTGAGCTACAGCTGTGTAGCTAAAAGGCAAAGCAGTGAGCCAGATTCTCCCACTACTTATTGTTTTTAAATTGGTTTATCTTTACTGACTTCAATGGATTTACTGTTGAACTTCATTAGCCTATTAAACAAGAGGACAATTACATCCATTGATTGCAACAAGAATTTTGTCTGGACGTATGGAGTTACAGCAAAATGCAAGATCTGGTTCTTTACTTTAGGACTGTTTTCTTTTTCTGGTTTAGTTTCTCATCCTAAAGACGTCCTGACTGCTGCACTCCTGATTTCTTATGCTGTTTTTGGTAGAACTTTGAGATAAACCAGTGTAATTAATACACTTATAATAGTCAAAGGAAAATGCTTGAAAATTATGTTCCTCTGAAGCCTTAGACACATAAGAGCAGATTTGCTGGGGTTCTATTTTATCGTTTGTAGAGAAACCCACAAAGCAGAATCTGAGAGTCAATGAGTCACTATCAGGCGTGAGTGATACATCTACCAGAGAATTTTTTTCAGATTTCTCCCCACATTACAAAACTTGTTTGATTTTAATGCTGTAAAAAGGAGTGGTTACCTTCTCAGATCTGTCCCACAGATTTTCAGTCACACAAAACTTGAGCAATAGCTCTTTGCACCAGATAGTTCAGGGTAATATCAGTTAAAACACATAAATACAGACAGTTCCAGTGTGAAAAATAAAGGCAAAGTTAATGGGGGAGGAAGAAAAGCAGATTAAATGGGAAGAGGCCAAATAATATAGAGCAAGGACAAGTCCAACCGAAAGGAAAATTATGAACAGAATAACATGAAGAGTTTGGATGGATGAGGCTCTAATAAGGAGACTGACTGACACAAAAGATTTAGTTGATGGGGAGTTTTTTGCATGTTTATGGAAAGCCAACACTGTAATCAGACTAAATTAGTATGCACAAGGCTGAAAAAGAATATTTAGTCACCTAACATGAATCTGAATGTAATAAACAGTGACAATTCATCATTTAGTGCCAGGAATGATTTGAATCTCTACACAAGTGAGAAGACCATCAAAAATGGGAAAAATAATAATTCTAGCGATCACATTGGGTGATAAACAAACACATTCCAACAATAATAATGCTTCATATATTTTTAATGTCATAGTCTGGCTAGTTCACAATCAAAATAAGATATTCTGAGCCACAGCTCAATCTGGGAAAGCACTTCTGCCTTTTTCTGTTTGAAGCATTGTCAGCAGGGAAGACGCATGTGTGTTTCTTTTCAAACAAAGAGACACACACATGCCCACCCAAACAAAAACTCTGGATGTATTTTTCAAGCAGCCCCTCAGCCAATTTCACAACACTACCAAGAGCTGTTTAACACCTCTCTTACCTGCACAACCACCACCTGAATGGACACATGATCTGGGAGTCTGAACGGTGCTCGAAAATACTGTGACAATGCAACCAGAAGATGAAGTATTGCTACGAGACTTTTAGCATGAACAGCTGAAATAGATATTAAAAGCACAAGTTACAAATTGTGAAGGAACTAGGGCACATATTTCCATTTTGTAGAATGTAGGGATTATGGGACTCTTTTCCTCTTCCCACCTGGAGCCAGGGAGCACTTCTAAGGCACCTCTCCTCTACTGCTCTCCTGCTCAACAGGTCATGCGAACACAGCCCAGTCGATAATACGTGTCAGCACCAAAGCGTTACTTTTTGCAACATGTCTGGAAGCCATAGGCTTGTGTAGATGGGAGTCTAAAGCTAAACCAAAAGCCAGATTTCATGATCATGTACAGCAGTTTAAGTGCTGTCTCTGCATTCTCCTTGCCTTTCCTTTATTCTCTTTATTTCAGTCAGGATTTATGGACCATCAGAAAGATATTTTTGTACTCATAACATGCGCTTATTCATTTTTAAGTGTCACAGTGTCTGCAGGATGATAAACGAGCCTATTTTGGCAGAAGCCTTAAGCAATAACTTACTAAACTCAATGACTCAAACGTTCCCCATGAAGTTGTTACAGTTCTTGTTATTGAAGCTTTTTCACAGCAGGTTTCATTGGGGTAGTTAACACTAACACAACTTATAAGATATCAAAAGCCATACCATAGGAAATTCTTAATCAAGTATCCAATGATTGGTATGAGAGTGAATCATTTCTCATTATTGCTTTTCTTCTTCTAATTTGTTTTTGCATTCATAGTCTTCCCTGGAGTAGTATTCCTAAATGAGCTTTGATAGCTGCAGTACAGTGCACTAACATTTTTTGTACTTGAACTAACCAATAACTACTACCTTACTTCACTGTTAAAGCAGGATAACATTCACTAAAATATCCTTCGAATCTTAACTATGCCATTCATATAAAATACAGCATTGCTGTCAAATTTTGCTGGGGTGCCAGTGGTCACAGATGAGGTGCTTTAGCAGAACACTAAAAAGATATCTGTCTGCCTAGCACCGGTGTGTGCTACAGCTGGCCCCAGCTGCTGCTCTCTATCTCTACTTCAGCTTTAAAACACATGTAAAATACTAAATTAAAACTAGAAGTTAAATTGTCAGGCCACTCAAACACCCTGCCTCCAGCTGCATAGCAGAGAATGAAAAAAGCTCGGGGGAGGCTGAAAAGAGATGGGGATAGATAACTCAGCGGGACCACAGGAAGGGGAAAGTCAGAGATGTCTCATGTTCACTCTTCCTCCCTCGAGCTACTTCTCTCCCTCTCAATTTGTTGTGAACTGAATGGGATACAAAACACCTCAGCTCAAGACAGATATAGGTGACAGGAGACCTGCTATATACTTATCAAGATATTCATCAGTGTGAAAGGATTTTGGCTACCAAACTTAAAACAGACTAAGAGGCCTAATTTTCTAAAACTGCTGGTAATCTGCTTTCTGCAACACATCTACACTAAAATGTCTTACGTTGGGCCTCTGAGGGCATTTCTACTAGATATTACTATGTTCATTTTTAATGCAATAAAACAGGAAGGGTACAGTTCTAATCTTCATGTGAATTTTGTAAATCAAAGTCAGTGGTTCAGATTTAGCCTTACATGATCAGAAATAATACTCATATCTATGTTGCAAATTTTACACAAATAAAGAGTACTAGGACCTACCTCTCCTTCTACCCATCTACTACCTTTATGCGGGTACTTCCCCATTTCAACAAACCAATTCAGTAATAGAAAACTTAAGCTGGTATGAATATGGACTTAGGAGCAGAAATACCATACTTTGACTAACTCTGAAAAGACAGTTTATTTAAGTTGGAGGTTGAGCACCAGTAAAGAGGGTAGAATGTACCACATCTGGCAGTGCCTTGTAAAGCAGAACCTACCATAAATACCAAGTTTCAGCCTTCCCTTATCGATGGATATTTCAGAACTCCAGAGAGCAGCTATAAAACCTTGGCTGTCAACAAATAAGAACAGCATAGAAAGCACCAACTTACAGTCAACGTTCCATTTAATGCTTCTTGGAGGGAGTTTAAGGGTTTCGTTGATCTTCTCAAGTACTGTCTGTAGCTTCTGCTTCTGAGCAATTTCAGACTGAGTAACTTCAGCAACGTTCAACTTCTCACATTCAAGTTTCTCTGAAGTGATAATGGAAGAAAAAAAGAGAAGAAAACCTATTGTCATCTCCATGAAGAACACAAAGACATTCCATGCACCTAGATGTACGTTCAAGAGACACTAGACTTCCCAGCTTTAAAATTATCTGGTTTTCCTTCCAGAGCCACTGTCCCCTACACTTCTGAACTCCTATAGATCCAGTTCACATTTCCCCATTGCCAAGGGGAAGGTAAGTATTAATGAAAGCCATACTATTGGCTAACAAACGTTTGCTGCAACGTCCTTTAGGGAACACCACACTCTGAGGTGAGGCCCATTACTTCTGCTGCTACTGGACAAAGGGTATTCTGTATGCAAGTGGTTTGTACAGCAGACCATCAGACCTAGGAAACAGATACCAACTTTAAGAAAATTCATTTCATCAGTCTCAGCCTCCAGGCTTCTCCCTCAGACTCGGGATGTTTCAAGATTAATTTAAGATACTGAAAGGAAATTTACTGGAGACTTTATGAGCTGTAATAACTAAGAAAATGGCTTCCAAGCCAACAGTTTAAAAGCACATGCCACCTCTGCATTAGCAGTTTCTTTTCTCTATCTGTTTCTCAGCTGAAGCTCAGTTTGCAGTCCACTGGGTACCATTACCTCAATAACGTTAAAAGCCAGACATCAAATCAGAAAGAAATTCCAACTTTCCAGAGGAACTTCACGATGTGAATAAACTACAGTATGGAACCAGCAGAGATTAAAAACATCCACTGTTGTACTGAAAATACCCTTGCCTTCAAACTTACTTTCCACTTGTAACATGGTTAAGTTTGTACAGCACATATGCAGATAATAAATTTAATTGGAGTGAATACTGTTGCCAAGACAAGAACCCTCCCTCTCTAGCACTCCAGGTAGGCTTTATGCTGTTCTCATCAAGTACAGAGCACCACACATTGCACTGTAGCTATAAGGGTTGTGCATACAGCCTATCGCTCAAGGGCCTCATAATACAATGCTATTTTTATATCACTTAGTGGCACGAATGTAAGATGATACCAAGGCTCCTAAGTAGGAACAAGTGATCCACTTACTGACAAAGTGCTCCAACAGCATGCACATGTATTTTTTCTTACCAAATAATTTCTGCAGTACTTGTCCATCATACAGGTCTTCAGCCAAGTCTTTCACAATAATCCTCTCTCCTACCAACACATCATTAATCCAGTCAATTAATACCTATATGGGAAACACAAATTTGGCAGTATTATACACTATTCATTTGCAATTTAAAACACATGTCATTTCGTACAATGATGAAAATATTCAGCAGAAAGAATACCAAAGCTGCAATGGCTCAAAACACAATCAGCCTGAAATGCCATCAGAAGAAAATAGGAAGGACTTAGGAAGGACTCTTCTAAGGTGGCTGTGTCAGTGAACCACAAGGTCTATACAAGTATCAGATTAACGCAATGCCTTCTGGAGTGAAATCTGTCCTTTGCTTTCAGTAGTACTTTAACATTTTATTGTGAAGCAAAACATGTTGAAGTTGACTCTAATGAAGCTTCCTGCTAAAGTTCTAACCACAAGAATCACAAAGACTATGAGGGAAGACAGTGTGAACTTAGATTGGGGTGAGATGGGACTAAGAATCTGGACAGAGGATTTTAATCCAAATATTTAAGTCCCTTTGTGCCATACCTAGAGAAAGATACTACAACAAGTGATCTGCTGTCGTGGTTTAGACAGTTGCTGTTATCAGTCAGTGACTCCTCCCCATCTGGGAAGGGGAATTGGGAAAAGGAAAGGAGACTCGTGGGTTGAAACAAAAACAGATTTACTAAAATATTAATCATAAAAACCCAGTATTAATAACAGTATTAATATGAAGGTCACGGAGTTATACTCAGTTGATATAGTGAGGGAGTAGGTCTCGGAAGTGGAACCGAAGGCGAGTCTCTCTTGGGATGATTACAGCCATCGAAGAAGGGACCATCCCCAGCAAACTCTCCAATTTATAGTGAGCATGATGTTTATGGTAGGAAATAATTTTTGTTGGCCAGTCTGGAGTCAGCTTGAGATCCACTCCCCTGGGTTTCCACTTCCCCAGACCACATACCAGTGCTGGCCAAAAAGTAAAACCAAGTATCTTATCACTTTGCTCCCATGAAATCGAGTACTGCGATCACTGCAGAAATGCAGCTTGCCTGAACAGAAAACTGACTCTATGATTCTATCCCCATGAAACCGGGACACCTGCCCATTTCACTGGGACGCGTGCACCACGTGGTTTCATTTAATTAATATCTAAACAGTGCTTTGAAGTGTTCAAATGAAAGAGGCAGGAATAGCATTAAAAATAGTTTCACTTTCCTGAAAGTGTTTACATGCTTTTCATTACCTTCATTAGTTCTTGTAATTTGGGGTCATTTCTTGAATTTGGATCAACCATTGTTCGGACTTCATTTTCCTCTGGAGGGTTTAAAAGAAAGATATTAGAAACTATTACAGGCATGACACTTTATTTTACATCAAGCTTTTATGTTGAGATATAAAATTGTTGTGAATTACCTAGCATAGTGTCCTCAGGGTCTAGTTCGAATGGAATTGGACTGAGAGGTAAGTTAATGGCATTTATTCCTTCTTCCTGTAATTCAGATACTAGGAAATAAAAAAGAAGAGCTTGGTCAGATTTCAATTCAATTTTACTTACTATTTCACTCTTGCTAAAAGTAGCATTAATTGTCTTAATTTCTTTATAAGATCATGACTCTATTAGATAACCCACTAGGTGTGATTACGGCAATAAAATACAGCTAAAAATGGGAGGCCCAGCCAACAAACCTTTGCTTGTGTAAGTAGATTTTTCATAGATAATGGTACTGGAATCAATGCAGTTTCCTCAAATCTTTTCCAAAATAGGGCCCACTGTCCTCAAATTTTAAAAGGCTCACTTACGTTTTAATGGTGCTGACATTTTAACGCTAATGCATCTTTTTAGCTGAGGGAAAAGATTATTGCTCTCAGCTGTGTCACCCTTGCTTTGGAGATGCTTCAAGTTTAGCTACTTGAGAAGAGCTGGGTCTGGCTATATATCCACACAGGACCTGCCAGACAGATAAACTATTTAGGACTGAAGGTGCAGTTGCAGCACACGCCTCCTGCCCTTGTTCAGGTCAGAGAGCAGCTGGAGCAGACTGTGGGATCCTTCTGGCCTGTGTGCTTGGGCTTTCTCTAGCAGAAACCTCGGCGGCAGGACACAGGTGTGTGAGCCCTCTAAAGTGCTGCCTTAGTGTGGAGTCCAGATGGAGGTTGAGAGAGAACTTGGACATGGGAATGGGGAAAATAAACCAAAATCCCATAGTTAGGAGACGCCCACAGCAGTCAGGAAATATGGACAAGTTCCTACTCAGCCAAAGTCCCCTAATGCTGCAAAAATTGATGTTCTTGTAACGTGTGCTCTGAGGACATAGGAACAGATTGATCCAGAGAAGTGTAAAAGCAGTCCTGCCACTAGTTCTGTACTGCACAGGTTCTGTACCTGGTACAGTCAGAAAAAACTTCATTCATGCCTCTCAGTTACCCAGACTTTAATAGGTTGCAAAGAAAAAGCCAGTCCTTCACTACCCAAACGTGCTTCCACAACAGAAGAGAATAAATACAAACAAGCCAATGCGCTAATCTACGGAAGGGCACGCAGCTCTTGAGCAGGGAAGGTACCCACTTCAGTGATCAGTATCAGTTTGTATCTGCTTTGTAACCAAGAAATTAGCGCAAACTTGATTTACCAAACCAGGAAAGAGGTACACTATCTTCTGAATGACAAGTACGTAATGTTATTTTGACCACCCATTTTCCAGTGTACAGATCTCAACAGAACTGGTTGTTAGCACAAATGTTCTGGTTCGGGTTTAAACTTAATTCAACCATCGCACAGGTGTCCTGAAGATTCAGGTAGCTGTATACACCTTCCGAGATGAACTAAAAATGTATCATACACATGCAGGTGCAGATTCACCATCTAATGTTGCGGAGTTACTATCTGAGGCTTTCCTCAGTTTATTTTGAAAATTACAGAAATAATTTAGGTTTAGAGAAAACAGAGAAGTAGAAAGTGACAGTAGAGATCTTGCTTTTACATCCTGGCCCCATGACTGCCCCGTAAACTGGCTTTTTGGAAAATGGTTTTACGTCTCTGCTTTAACTCCCTGTGTGCAAGAAGTGCAGTTAACCTTCAATGAACACTGTGACAATTAGTCAGCTGGTGTGATAATAGTATTAAAACTTCCCAAATATTTTCTAAGCTTTGTGAAATGTTTTGTGCTCTGACAGATGAAATGCCTGTTCACGTTTCCAGAGTCTGTGTAGCTTTGTTCAGGCATCTATGTAAGATTCAAAGCAATAACGGCTGTCAGAATGCTTATTAATTTTAACTGTAATAACTTTGAAAAATCCACTACCTTCAACACTGAAACATTAACTTCTCTCCTTACACTTACTCTGCTTGTGTATCTGTAAAATACAAATATTAAGCAGCTCTAAAGAGTCATAAAATCATGCTGACAATAATAGTTCCCCGGATTGTTGTATATCCTCTAGAACTGATGTCTGAGAGCAATGGACCAAATTAATCCCTCATGTAACCCCCCTGAGTTCTAAGGAGTTATAGCAAGAATGAATTTGGTTGAGCATGTACAATCTCAGGAACTGTTTGCACTTAATGGCAATTTTTTGAACTGCTAGCGCTCCTTAGAGAAAATCCTTGTTGGTTTTATTAACTTCTTTGATTTATTTTTTTTTCATTTTGGTCCAAAATGGTTATGGGCATAAAAACGTCAGTGCATAGAAAACGTCCATGTGGGGGTCTTTCTGTCCTGAAATGTTTAGTTCATGGAGGATTTCCACACAAAGGTTCCTAAGCAGAAAACATTTTTGTCACATCAATCCCAAGAGGGTAAATATAATCTGCGAAAGCCAACTGGCTCCACTCAGGTTTCCAGCCTCAAAGGGCTGAATGCTCTGCTTGGGCAAGACACACCGGAGGAAGCAGTCAGCTCATCTTCCCAGTGAAGGACAGGTGGGAAAGCTTTGGGCTCCTCTCTCCAAGGAGCGACCCGCTGGTGGAGCTCACTGACACTTCTTCAGGGAGACCGAGTGGACCCTTCAAGGCTGAATGTTTTGTGAACCTCCCCATTTTTGTCCTCCAGTGTGTCCTCCAACCACATTCTACTTTTAACAACATGATCTTCATCATAATATCAGAGTTGTCGAAATTAAGAGAAAGCAAACAAAAAGCCGCTCTATCTTTGCAAGGACAGGGGACATAAAATACAAATAAAATAATAATAAATACACATAAGAAACTAATACATGGATCTGTTCTAGAACGCATTGCAAGTGCTGTATTTATTGTAGAGCAGGGGCTTCGCTGTATGCACGCATGCGCAAGCGGTGATCTTGTTCCCCCAAGCGATTCACTCGAATCACATTCATTTCTCACACCTGCCCGAGCCATATGCAGAACCTACCCAACACACCTCCGGATGATCCAAAGATCCCAGATGGATCCGGTTTGCCAGAGAGGACAGCTCCTCCTCAGCCACTGCACTCTGCAGTGCGCAACCCATGCCCAAGGTTGGTATTAGTCCTGTAATAAAGACTCCTCCTGCCCTCCTGTCTCCTACAAGCAGAAAACACGATGGAGAAACCCTGAGCCTGATAGCATCTTTTTCATTTCTTTCCCAATACTGAAAAGAAAAGATCTAACTACAGATACTACCAAAATGAACAGGTAAGAACACATGCATTATGTCAAGTTGCAAAGGGAGAGAAAACGTATTATGTCGTATAGCCTCACTTTCTAAGAATTTCCATCAAAAAAGGTCCATGACAAACCACTACTATACACTGAGGTGTTTATAGAGGAACCACAAAAATGTGATGGAGGTTGAGAGTTTGCATACCACAGTTTCAGCAGAGGAATCAGTTTTTCAGCTGCTTTTCATTAATTCGCTTTAATTAATTTTCATGAAAATTCCTTCAGCAATGTAGTATTTTAATAAAAACAAAGCACACAGGTTTGGGATAATTTTTGCAGTAGTTGAAATTAAAAGAAAATAATCTCGTTTCTCGAAACACTTTCAGGAACGAGTTGGAGCATCAGCAAGACCTTCTCTCTGACTCTTACAGTGTAAAGACCCAGGAAGGGAGCAGCAGTTCATCTACACCGCACCAGCTGCCAGAGCAGTGCACTGAGACCCACCTGCGGCAGCTCCTCTGAAGGACAATATCCACAGAGCTGTCTGCTTGACTCCAGGCATGCTTGGCCACGGGGTGACCCCAGCAATCAGAGTTAAGAGAACCTTTCTGTTCTCACCCTCTGCTGCGGCCCAGATGCAGCCCAGTGTGTCGGCTACCACGGGGCTTGTTCTCATCATACTTATATTGGCATGATTAGGGGCTTTATCCTTTTGGATGTGAGAGGGAAACCCAGTCCTTTATGGGTTGGTGTTGGGGTTTTTTTTTGCAGTCACCACGCTGAGTGAAACTGGGGGTTAAATGTACTTTTAAAGCAAAACCCTTAAAAGCCACAGTTACACATGGCCCAGACAAATCTCTGTGGACTGGCAATGTGAAAGTCCTGGTTTTAACTCAGGATAAGGAACGGACACTTCTGCTCAGATTTCTGATTCAGCTCCACACACCAAATTGGTTATGATGTAATCAAGTGCAACTCCACTGCTATCAGCTGTCAACAGACTTCCTCCTATCATGCCAGCACCAAATTTGGCCCCAGAGCTGGGCAGCCCACAAGCTTTTATCAACAGCAACTACAAGCAGCTATTTTAAGCTGGATAGAGTTCTTACTGCTTTAGATGCTCTAGGATTGCAAGGTCATAAACCTACACTATCAAATCCACGCAAGTGCTCAGAGCCAGACTTTGCCCTTTGATGCGTGCATCCAACTACCATTGAAACTGCTGGACGCCGAGCACATCTGAAAGTGGAGTACTGCCCATACGGTTTAAATTGGCTTAATTCCTCTAGTGCATGCAGCCTGTTGCTCCACATTGTATTTATTAGACAGTTTCATTTGGGTTTTTTACTTGTTTACTTTGTGTGCTGAAGGCTTTTTGCTGCCCTGTTTAGTATTCAGGGCTTAATGTTATTCTGATTTGAATAAGATATATCTTATTATTTAAGCAAGCTCAGAAATGCCACATCACCCAATGCACACTCTGTGGTTTAGACCTATTTTAGCATATCTATCCAAAGAATCATAAAATAAATACAGCAAGATGTAGTGTGAAATGGTCTCTCCTCTGAGTGCTACAGCCATGTCTTTCCATATAATTGATTCCACACTCACAAAACTGAAACTACTCAAGTGCTACAACACTAACGGATCTACTCAAAGTTCGTGATTAACTAGAACCAAGCCCTAATGCTAGGGAGCACAGTGACCCAATGCTTCTAACCTCAACCCTTCAAAACCAGGACATTTAAATACATGCATATATATCTACATAAATATATACACACACACACTTCTGCAGTTCTTTAACTTCCTTTCTTTCCTCAATATAGGGGGTTTCCATTCAAGGTCTTCTCTGCCATTTTTAAGGTTGCGAATACTTTGGTTTGGGGTTTGGGTTTT